TTGTCTGTGTCTTATTTCTTTTCTCAGTCTCATTCTACCTGACGAGAGAAACTTCCACAGGTGTGGAAGGGCAGGCCACCCCTTCCAAGTAGCCAATTGGATCAACTGGAACAAAGGAGTATCCCAGTGATTGAATCAAATCAATGAAGTGAAGCGGGAAAGAGAAGTCTTGAGAAAAAGAGTAAAATAAACGAACAAAGCCTCCAAGAAATATCAGGACTATGTGAAAAGACCAAATCGTCTGATTGGGTGTACCTAGAAAGTAGCGGGGAGAGTGGAACCAAGTTGGAAAACACACTGTAGGATATAATCCACGAGAACTTCCCCAACCTAGCAAGGCAAGCCAACATTCAAATTCAGGAAATACAGAGAATGCCACAAAGATACTCCTCGAGAAGAGCAACTCCAAGACACATAATTGTCAGATTCACTAAAGTTGAAATGAAGGAAAAAGTGTTAAGGGCAGCCAGAGAGAAAGGTTGGGTTACCCACAGGGAAGCCCATCATACTAACAGGATCTGTCCACAGAAACTCTACAAGCCAAGAAAGAGAAATTAGAGGCAAATATTCAACATTCTTAAAGAAAAGGAATTTTTCCAGGCCGGGCGCGGTGATGGCTCAAGCCTGTAATCCTAGCACTTTGGGAGGCCGAGTCGGGTGGATCACGAGGTCAGGAGATCGAGACCATTCTGGCTAACCTGGTGAAACCCCGTCTCTACTAAAAAATACAAAAAAACTAGCCGGAGGCGAGGTGGCGGGCGCCTGTGTCCACCAGCTTCGGGAGAGCTGAGGCAGGAGAATGGCGTAAACCCAGGAGGCGGAGCTTGCAGTGAACTGAGATCCGGCCACGCACTCCAGCCTGGGTGACAGAGGCGAGACTCCGTCTCAAAAAAAAGAAAAGAAAAAGAGGTACAGCAGAATTTCATATCCATCCAAACTAAGCTTTATAAGTGAAGGAGAAATAAAATCCTTTATAGACAAGCAAATGCTGAGAGTTTGTCATCCACCAGGCCTGCTCTACAAGAGCTCCTGAAGGAGAAGCACTAAACATGGAAAGGAAGAACCAGTACCAGCCACTGGCATGCCAAACTGTAAAGACCATCGATGCTGGGAAGAAACTGCATCAACTAATGACAAAATAACCAGCTAACATCATGTGACAGGATTAAGTTCACACATAGCAATATTAAATGTAAATGGGATAAATGCTCCAATTAAAAGACACAGACTGGCAAATTGGATAAAGAGTCAAGACCCACCAGTGTGCTGTATTCAGGAGACCCATCTCATGTGCAGAGACACACATAGGCTCAAAATAAAGGGATGGAGAGGAAGATCTACCAAGAAATGGAAAAAACAAAACAAAAAGGCAGGGTTGCAGTCCTAATCTCTGATAAAACAGACTTCTAACCAACAAAAGATCCAAAGAGACAAGACCATTACATCATGGTAAAGGGATCAATTCAACAAGAAGAGCTAACTATCCTAAATATATATGCACCCAATACAGAGCACCCAGATTCATAAACAGTCCTTGGGGCAAGCTCCCACAGTCAGACTCCCCTACAATAATAGAAAGAGACTCAGACTCCCACACAATAATACTGGGAGACTTTAACACACCACTGTCAACATTAGATAGATCAACGAGACAGGAGTTAACAGGATATCAGGTGAACTCAGTTCTGCACCAAGTGGACCTAATAGACATCACTGCAGACTCTCACCCCCAAATCAACAGAATATACATTCTTCAAACTAGAACTCAGGATTAAAAACTCACTCCAAAACTGCTCAACTACATGAAACTGAACAACCTCCATACGGAATGACTATTGGGTACATAGTAATGAAGGCGAAATAAGATGTTCTTTGAAACCAATGAGGAACAAAAGATACAACATACCCAGAATTTCTGGACACATTTAAAAATGTGAAGTTATAGCATATTACAAGAAAGCAGGAAAGATCTAAAATTGACATCCTAACATGACAATTAAAAGAACTAGAGAAGCAGAGGAACACATTAAACTAGCAGAAGGCAAAAATAACTAAGATTAGAGCAGAACCGAAGGAGATGAGACACAAAAAACCCTTCAAAATCAACAGTCAGGGCTGGTTTTGAAAAGATCAACAAAATTGATGAACCACTAGCAAAGACGAATAAAGAAGAAAAGAGAGAGAAGAATCAAAATGGAGCACAATAAAGTGATAAAGGATATCACCACCCATCTGAGGAAATACCTTCAGCATCAGGAATACTATAAAGACCTCTACACAAATATACAAAAATCAGAAAAATGGATAAATTCCTGGACACATACACCTTCCAAAGACTAAACCAGGAAGAAGTTGAATCCCTGAATAGACCAATAGCAGGCTCTGAAATTGAGGCAATAATTAGAGCTAACTTAAAAAAGTCCAGTACCAGATGGATTCACAGCCAGATTCTACAAAAGGTATAAGAAGGAGCTGTTTTTAATTCTTTCTGAAACTATTCCCATCAATAGGAAAAGAGGAATCTTAGCTGTATCATTCAGCACCAGCATACACAACAAGACACAACACAAAAAAAAGAGAGATAATTTTAGACCAATATCCGTGATGAACATCGTGCAAAAATCTCCATAAAATACTGGCAAACGAATCCGTAGCACATCAAAAAACTTGTACCATGATCAAGTTGGCTTCATCCCTGGGATGCACTGGCTGGTTACATATCACAAATCAATAAACGTAATCCAGCATATAAACAGAACCAAAGACAAAAACCACATGATGATCTCAATAGATGCGAAGGCATTTGACAAAGAAGTTCAACAGCCCTTCACACTAAAAACTCTCGTAAAGTTAGTATTGATAGGACATCTCAAATAGTAAGAGCTATTTACCATTAAACACACAGCCAATATCATACTGAATGGGCAAAAACTGGGAAGCATTCCCTTTGAAAGGCCTTGCACGAGACAGGAATGCCCTCTCTCACAACTCCTATTCAATGTAGTGTTGGAAGTTACCAATGACAATCAGTAGGAGAAAAAATAGCTAAGCAAGATGTAACTTAGCAAAATGTAATTAGGTATTGATTAGGAGTATTCAATTAGGAAAACGGGAAGTCAGATTGTCCCTGTTTGCAGTATTATAATTATTTGTTTAAAACCATCATCTCAGCCCAAAATCTCCTTAAGCTGATAAGCGACTTCCAGCAAAGTCTCAGGATACAAAATCAGTATTGCAAAAGATCACAAACAATTCTTATACACCAACCATGAGACTAAACAGAAAATTGATGATCCATCTAGACTACAATTGCTTCAAAGAGAATAAAATACCTAGGAATCCAACTTACAAGGGATGTGAAGGACCTCTTCAAGAGAACTACAAACCACTGCTCAAATACATAAGGAGACACAAACAAATGGAAGAACATTCCATGCTCATGGATAAAGGAAAAGTCATCTCATGAAAATAGCCTTCCCAAGGTAATTTATAGATTCAATGCCATCCCCATCAAGCTACCAATGACTTTCTTCACAGAATTGGAAAAATCTGTAAATTCTTCTACATTCCTGGATTTTGTTTTCTGTCCAAATGCCAGAAACAGATTCAACTCTTTCTGCATACTCCATGACTCTTATATTAGTGACTCCCATCAATTATTTGTAGAATAAAGAATAATAGATTCTCATTTCCACCTAATATTTATACTTCCACTTTCATAAATGTATATCTGATTCAATCAGTTAATGAAAAATACCAAATAATCAGGATTGTGGATGGAGACTTGAATCCTAATCAGACATCATTTTCAGTTGAGAAGCTGGTTGTTGATAAAAAAGGGGAAGGTGGTTAGAAAGGTCATAAGCTCCCACAGGTGCACAGAAGAGACCCGAAGCCTGGCACCTGGAATCACTGCTTGGGTTCTCAGAAGTGCAGCACCCTGCAAAGTGAATCCAGCTCTGGTAAGTCACGCCCTCCTTGGGATATGCCCATCTGATCTGCAGCCAGCCAGTCAGGGACACAGTGACAAGCAGCCCAAGGTGGCAGAGAGAACTTCCTTATCTGTTTTCAGATGAACAGATTTAGGCTGTGATTTTTCCTCTAAATGTAGTTTTGTCTTCATCCCCAATTTGATTTATCCTTGGTTTTTGTCATTTAATTTGCATATCAAGCAGTTTCTTTAAAACAAAAGATATTAAAAACTTACAACTGGTTGAATTTCTATTTGTGACATTTTGAAATTATTTGGCTTTTGTGCCTCCAGTTCTAGTTCATTCCAGTGTGATAATAATTTCACATGTTAGGCTCTCATTTTACTAAAACTTTAAATATTCATAGACCATTCTCCAAGGTAGGTCTTTGTTCTGAACATGGGATCAATTTTTTTCCCCCTAGATTCCATCCTAAAGTGGGTCATTGTGAGTCTGTGTAAGAGATCGCATTGAACCTTCATCTGAGTTAGGGTTTTATCCCTAGCTACGAACTCGAGAATACTGTCACGGTGCTTTCACTTTCTTATTTATAATTTTCAAAATAAAAAAATAATGGCACTGATTCCAAGCAGTCCCTTTAGTCTTCTGCAACCATGTTCACTGTGGGAACTGAGAATGTAGGCTGTGTTGGGGCCACAGGACATTCTCATTCCATTGTTTAAATTGGTAAGTGATAAACATTTTCTTGAAAGGTGGAGCTTAGCTTTCAGGATCCTCAGCAGCGCTTCCCAGTGTTACTGAAGTTTAGTGCAGCAATGGTTGAAAATGAATGGGCCAGTGGTCACCTTGCCCCCTCTTCATTGTTTGGAAGACAATCTTCACAGTACCAGCAGAACCCAGGTACAGATTTGTGTTCAGAAAGTGCAGAGTGGAATTGGGGTGAACTAATTACCTTTCCACCTCTACCAGAGCAATGGCATTGGCACTAGGAGATGATGAAGTAATGTGATTTGCCACCAAAGGAAATCATGCTCTTTCTCTGAAAGTTTTCCACGTAGATTCATCAGCATGAGCCTCCAGGCCCCACCCAGACTCCTGGAGCTGGCAGGCAGAGTCTGCTGAGGGGCGGAGCCTTAGCCATCCCCACCCTGGAGGAGCTGCCCAGGGAGCTCTTTCCCTCTCTGTTCATAGAGGCCTTTACCAGGAGATGCTGAGACCCTGAAAACTATGGTACAGAGCCTGGCCTTCACCTGCCTTCCTCTAGGGTCCCTGATGAAGTGGCGTCATCTGGAGACCTTTGGAGCTGTGCTGGAGGGCTTGATGCACTGCTTGCCCGAAGAGTTCACCCCAGGTGAGAGGTGACCCAGCTGGCCCAGGTGGGGAGGGCCAGACATCCAGGGTAGGGCTGGCTGGATCAGAAGGATTGGGAGGCCCAAGGGTGGCCCAGAGTCTTCTGATGCGGCTGGGGAGGAAGCTCAGAGAGGCCTTGGCCATTGTCCAGCTCCTCTGGGAAAAGACTGCTCACCATGCAGGGTCCACTGAAGGATCAGGAACCGGGTTCCTCCCAGTGGCAACTGAAGACACTAGCAGTGGGGACCAGGCGGAGTTTCAGAAGCAAGAGGATGGAGAAAGAAAGACAGAGAGAGTGGGAAGAAGCAGGGAGGGGAGTCACTGATGTCTGGGATGTGGACAAAAGCTCAAATCCTTGAGTAAATTTGGAGCCTCTCTTCTCTTTTACCCACAGGCGGTGGAAACTTCAAGTGCTGGACTTGCGGGATGTGGATGAGAACTTCTGGGGCATATGGTCTGGAGCTTCTGCACCCTCCCCAGAGGCTCACAGGTAAGAGACAAACAGCAGAGAACTGTCCAAGGCTGGGTGGGCAGCAGCCCTTGATGGTGACCCTAGACCTTTGCTTCAAGAATGGGACGCTGGATGAATGCCTCACCCGCTTCTTCGAGTGGGGCAAGCAGAGAAAGGCTTACTTCATGTGTGTTGCAAGGAGCTGCAGATTTTGGAATGCCCATCCACAGAGTATCATGGGGTCTGAACGTGGTGGAACTAGACTGTATCAGGAGGTGGGAAGTGTGTGCTGCCTAGGAGCTGTCCATTCTTATAGGTTGCCCCTTACCTGGGCCAGATGAGGAGATCTCCATAGACATTCTCTTCAACATCCACGTCTCTGCCTGCATTCCCCCAGACAAGAAGGAGCAGTTTGTCACCCAGTTCACCTCTCAGTTCCTCAAGCTGGACTACTTCCAGAAGCTTTTCCATGCACTCTGTCTCTTTCCTCGAGAGCCACCTGGACCAGCTGCTCGGGTGAGGAAGGATGGTGAGTTTTCTGTGCAGACCACAGCAGAACCTTTCTCTGTTACAGTAAACACCAGGGGTATCTGTGAGCCAGCTTGTGACGAGGTCACAGTGGAGGACACTAGAATGTCCATGCATTGTCTGTTGGCAGCTCTGTCTAAAATGGGTGTCCACAACCATCCCAATAAGCCAGCGGGATCTCTGGAGCTAGATGCTATAGAGAGGCTGCCATGCTAGGATGCTGTAACTGCGGGTTCAGATCTAGTGAGAGTGCATTTGTGGCCTCCCGAGGATGTGTGTCTAAGTTAAGATGATGGGAAATAGGGAGGTGAAGAGGGCACTAAAAGAGGAAAGTCCTTCACACCTCTATTTTAAAATATAAAGGTCTGCTCCTCCCACCCCTGCCTAGTGAACAGGCAAAATCCTGTCTCTCCCTCTGTCAGCAAAATGTTTTGAGTTCCAAGTCAGGTAAGCAATGTATGGAAATACATGATGATGGAATAGAGGGTGAGGGAGCAGGAGTGAAGAAGGGAGAAAGGATAGACGGTTTGCTGATGATACAGGCGTGTCAGGGACTCCTGCAGCCTGGCCACTAGCTGATGTTGCAGGATCCTGCCTGGGTTGTTCTTTATGTCTGTGTCTTCGTGGTGTTCCGGTGGCCCAGAGATGCGGTTTTCTGCCTGACAGATGAAGAAAGGGAGCCTTAGAGTTCATGGAAGCGACCCAGTCACCTGAGTGATGGTGAAGGACTGAGCCTCAATTGGGACTGTCGGAAGGAGCAGAGTCTCCGTTCCACACCCCAGGGCGCTGACTATCCTCGGATAGGCAGAGCAGCCTTGGATTGTGGAGACTGTCATCTCTCACCTGAGGTCTTCCCACCCACTCTCCTCTAACTCCTTCTTCTCTCCCAGGTGTCTCAGGCCCCTTGGAGACGGTCGTCATGACCGACTGCCTGCTGTCAGAGTCGGACTTGAAGCATCTCTCTTGGTGCCGAGCATCCGTCAGCTAAAGGAGCTGGACCTGGGGGCATCACACTGGCCCATTTCAGCCTGAGCCTCGCCCCGTTCTGCTAGAGCAAGTTGAGGTACCCTGCAGACCCTGGACTTAGAGGACTGTGGGATCACGGACTCTAACTCAGCATCATCCTGCCTGCCCTGAGCCGCTGCTCCCGCTCAGCACCTTGGCTTCTGTAGAACCTCATCTCCATGGCCGCCCTGGAGAACCTGCTCACGCCACACTGTCGGGCTGAGCAAGCTGAGCCTGGAGCTGTACCTGCCCCCTCTGGAGAGTTATGATGCCAGGGTGCTCTCTGCTGGGGAGATTTGCTCAACTTTGAAATTTATTTAATTATGAAGACACTGAGGGACTTAAGGCAGCCCAAGATTGTTGTGTTTCAACACTGTCCCCTGCCCTCGCTGTGGCATCAGGGCCTCTATGACCTGGAGCCCAGTCACCTGCGGAGCCCAGTCACTGCCTCTGCTGAATGCCTGTCCATCGGGGTGGATATATTTAGAGTTTTCTTCTGGTCATTTGGGAACTGAATCCTAGGCCATGAGTGTATGTTAAAGGGAGCACAGATGCACCGTGGATGCAGAAGTGGTGGGACTGGGGGAAAAGTTGAGCTGGAGTTGATGGAATCTTTAGAGATCTGTGTCCCAGAGAAACAGAAATGGGAATCTGAACTGCTAGAGTGAAAATCAGGTAGGAGAGACACATGAGAGTTACCTCTGCATGGATGGTTGTAATGAATCGGTCAGAAATAAAGGGAAACTGAATGGAAACTGTCTGGTGTCCTCCATGATTGCTTCACCTGGCTTAACAATGTAAACCTAAGAAGTCTCAAGTTACTGATGGAGGAAAGGAGGCACTGATTTGTCTGTGACAAAAGAGTTTCAGCTCCCAGAAATCAAGCCATCAAAATGGAATTTGATCATTTGGATCAATTCCCTCCTTTTCTTTACTTCTCTCTGGGCATCTGTTACCTTCTTGCTATTCTCTGTGACTACTTAGTGGGTTAATGCACATGAGAGACACACACAGGAGCATTCTAAGTGGAAAGTGAGTGTCAGCCACTGAAGTTCAGCCCCTTCTTCTCAGGGGCCCTCACTTCTGTCCAGATGCTGAGACCCTGTTCACTCCTAATGGGTGGATCCAGAACCCTCAGTTCCTGACCGTTACCTGTGCTGGGAAAGGACTTCACTGCCCAAGGCATGGCCCCTGCCCTGGAAGGGGAGCTCCACACTGTGAGCAGCAGCCTCAGGGCATCACCAACCCATGCCTGTCCTCATGGTGGGTAGTGGCCCTTGCTGAATTAAAGCAGTTGTGACCAATAAAGACATCCAAATTCCCTTTTAGCAAAATGCTTGCATTAGGTAGGCATATAATACCTATAACATCGATGAAAGACCTTTTCTTAACACCTCGCCTTTCTCCCTGTCAAGGAAGACTAGTGCATCGTATTTGGAATCACACATGCTCAGAGGGTGGATAACGATCAAGTGCCTGGGGGTAATTAGTGACCACACCTGTGCTGAAGGACCCTCCACAACACGCACCTAAGTGTAGAACCCTGCCGAGGACTCAGGGGCTGGTGCTGTTGGGCATGAAATAGGCAAGAAGCTCAGATTCTCTGTAAAATAAGGATGATGATGCCCGCCATGCTATGAGACTGTTGTAGGACCCAGTGAGATGGTGCATGGTCAGGACTTGGAACGGGGCCTAGCATACAGTAAGAGCTCAATACGTGCATCTTGTTCTCGTTTTCCCTCTCCTAATAGAAGTCCCAGCATTCTTCTATGTCATCTTCCATTCCTGATAACGGGGAGGCAGTAGGATCCCAGGGCAGGCAACGGGACTCAGCTGCTACACACCACCACTACTTAATCATGATTCCCCCAAACAGCAGAGCCTCAGCAGCCAGCAGAGGGTGGGGTGGGTGGGGAAGGCCTGAGTTCATCACTAGTGATCCTGAGAGAAAATTTCCAACCCATGAGACTCATGTGCCATCTGCTGGTAGGTGAGACCATCTGTTGTAATTTATTGATGCAAAAAGGATGATATTGAGTGGTATCTCCAAAAATCTGCTGTTATGTAAATGTTTATAGAGAATAAATATGTATTTGTGATTTACATACAACGCATTTAAGATTCAAATGGAAATGTTAACATATAACAGGAATTTAGTGCTTTAAAGTATGTAGTGCAATATTTTAAAAATGCTTAATGTGGTTTTGAGTCTCAAATGAAATGACACATTCAAAATGAATTTTAAAGATCAATGAATAAGAATTGCTCTTATTGAAAAACACTTAATACCCCAGGATGAATGCCTGAGATACCTCTTTCAGTGGGTTTACCAAAGGAGAGGTTTAGCACACCTGTGCTGTAGTAAGTTGGTGAATTATCTAACGCTGATTAAATACCTCAGAAAATCATTGACATTAATCCACCTGAATAGTATTCAGGAGCTGGAAATCTGCAACATGTCCTGGCCACGTCTGATAAGAAAGATTCGTTGTTACCTGAAGGAGATGAAGAATCTTCGCAAACTCATTTTCTCCAGATGCCATCATTACACGTCAGACAATGACCTCGAGGGACAGTTAGTCGCCAAATTCGGCTCTGTGTTCCTCAGGCTGGAACACCTCCAGTTGCTTAAAGTAAAATTGGTCACCTTCTTCAGTGGGCACCTGGAACAGCTGATCAGGTGAGAAAGGATTGCGCACTTTCTCTGCAGACCACAGCACAGCCTTGTTTCGTTACAGCAAACACTGGAAGGCATGTACTGTATGCCAGTCAGTGGCAACGTCACAGTGAAGGGGACATCAGAATGTCAACACATTGTCCCATTCAGGGCTCCATGTCCTGGAGTGGCTATCACAGGATCGCTCCAATGTGGGCAGCGGGGTCACCTGGGGTGGAGGCTAGAGAGGGATATCATGTACAAGCTAGTTAGTGGGGGTTTCAGCTCTACTGAGGGTGCACGTGTGAATTTCTTGTTTCAAGGTGTGTTTCAAGCTGATATGATATAAAAGAGGTAATAGAGGAGGCTATGAAAGGAGGAAAAGTGCACCAAACTTGTACATGTCACAGTAGAAGCTCTGTCCTCACCAGCTTAGTGATCACGAATGATTCTGTCTCTAATTCCCTGTCTGTAAAAGGTTGTTTTGAACCCCAGGAAAGGTAATTGACATGGGAAATGTGTACTTCTTGAATGGAGGGTGAGGAAGTAGGCATGGGAGTGGTAAAAAGTGATAGTTGCTTTGCAGATGCAGGCATGTCCGGGAGCCCCTGCCGGCGCGTAGCCCTAGCTGATGTCCCTAGACCTTGCTGAGTTGAGTTCTTTGTGCACATCTCCCACTGGGTACCTGTGGCCCAGAGACGAAGTTTTCTGCTAAAAGATGAAGAAAAGGGGCTTTAGTGATTTTGTGGCCTTGAACCAATCACACAAGCAATGGCGAAAGGGCCGAGGCTAAAATGGGACTGTCCTGAATGATCAGAGTCCTCATCACGCAGCAACTTGCACGCGGACCATCATCACGTGATGGGAATAAACTTGTGTTTGGGTGAAGCAGACATTTCCCTTGAGGTTATTCCCCTCCACCTTCATCTAACTGGTGCCATTGCCCAGAACTAACTTCTTGATCTCCACAGGTGCCTCCAGAACCCCTTGGAGAGCTTGGAATTTACTTGTGGCTACCTATTGGAAGAGGACGTGAAGTGTCTCTCCCAGTACCCAAGCCTCGGTTACCTAAAGCATCTGAATCTCAGTTACGTGCCGCTGTTCCGCCTCAGTCTTGAGCGCCTCGGAGCTCTGCTAGAGAAAGTTGCTGCCACTCTCGAGACCCTCATCTTGGAGGGCTGTCAGATCCACTACTCCCAGCTCAGTGCCATCCTGCCCAGTCTGAGCCGCTGCTCCCAGCTCACCACTTTCTACTTTGGTCGAAATTTCACGTCTATGGACGCCCTGAAGGACCTGCTGCGCCACACCAGTGGGCTGAGCAAGTTAAGCCTGGAGACGTATCCCGCCCCTTGGGAAAGTCTGAATTCCTTGGTTCGTGTCGACTGGAAGATCTTCACCCCGCTTCGGGCTGAGCTGATGCACACACTGAGGGAAGTCAGGCAGCCCAGGAGGATCTTCATTGGTCCCACCCCCTGCCCTTCCTGCGGCTCCTCACCATCTGAGGAACTGGAGCTCCATCTTTGCTGCTAGGGAAGGCGTGCCTAGCTGGGTAGATCCATCCAAAGTTCTCTTCCAGGCTCTTGGACACTAAAATCTAGTATGTAGGTGCAAGTTATTTTTCTTATTTCTTATTTCTTTTTTAATAATTCTAAAATTTTTATTTAAAAAATTTGAGACAGGGTTTCGCTATGTTGCCCCAGCTGGTCTCAAACTGCTGGGCACATGGGATTCTCCTACCTTGGTCTCCTAAAGTGCTGGAATTGCAGGCATGAGCGACTTTGCCCAGGCCACGTGTACAGCTTAAAGGAAGCACTGAACTCTTTGCTTCAGGCAAGTGCTCAGTACAATGGAAAAAACGTAACAGCAGGGAGCAAGACTGGAGGAAAACGTTGACGTGGAGTCAGTAGGACCTTCAGAGACCCGTGTCCTACAGCGTCAGAGACAGAACCCAAAGTTCTATAGTCATGAGAATGTTATCCCTGTAAAGATGGTTACAAAGAAATATCAGAAATAAAGAGAACCTCAGTGAACACTTTCTGGTGTCCTCTGTATTTGATTGACTTGCTTTAGCGATTTGTACATCAGAAATCTCTAGTTATTGAGTTACTGATGGAAAAATAACGCAGTACTAATTTGTCTGTGATTGAGGTTCAGCTTGAGAACATCAAAACAACCACATAAAATTAGATCATTTTGATAAATTCTCACCAATTCTTGTTCTTTTCTTTTTGTTTTATTTTTGGAGACAAAAGTCTCACTTTGTCTCCTCAGCTGGTGTGCAATGGTGCAATCTGGGCTCACTGCCATCCTTTCCTTCAGGGCTCAAGTGATTCTCATGCCTCAACCACTCAAGTAGCTGGGACTATAGGCATGTGCCACCAAGCCTGGCTAATTTTTTTTTTTTTTTTTTTGAGATGGAGTCTCACTCTGTTGCCCAGGCTGGAGTGCAGTGGCGCCATCTCGGCTCACTGCAAGCTTCGCCTCCCGGGTTCACACCATTCTCCTGCCTTGGCCTCCCGAGTAGCAGGGATTACAGGCGCCGGCCACCAGGCCCGGCTAATTTTTTGTATTTTTAGTAGAGACGGGGTTTCACCGTGTTAGCCAGGATGGTCTCGATCTCCTGACCTTGTGATCCGCCCGCCTTGGCCTCTGTATTTTTAGTAGAGGCAGGGTTTTGTCGTGTTGACGAGGCTGGTCTCAAGTTCCTGGCTTTGAGTGATCCGCCAACCTTGGCCTCCCAAAGTGCTGGGATTACAGGTGTGAGAATGGTCTCCACCCATTTTTCTCTTAAGTCATCTGTTTTTTTCCTTACTTTTTCACCTTTGGGGAGCAACTCAGTCGGGCACAAAAGGCTGGGCAGAGAGCAGCCCCGAGGAGATGGGCTTGGGGTGGTGCCATGCTTGCACATGAAGTGTGGTTGCCAGGTTCAGAAAGCAGAGCTGGGGCCGTGCTCCAGGGGCCTGGTTGGGAAGCAGAAATGGCACCTGGTTCAATGACCTGGCCAACTATGCGGCTACTGTGCCCGCCCTGCTAACAGTGCCAAGTTCCTGGGCCTCAAAGGGAGGTTCTGTGGAAATCCTCCCGAAGCTGTGTTTCCAAGATCTGCCCACCACAGGGGTGACCACAGAGCCTGACGCTCCCGATTGCTGGGCCTGTGAACCATGATCCACTGTTACAGACACCCCCCTTGGCAGGGTTGTGGGCCAGGCCTGTGCCCCATGTCACTGAGGCAGCAAATTGTGTCACCCATACCCTCTCAGGGCTAAACGGGACCCGCTCCAGGTCTGAAGCCTCTACCAAGCCTCAACCTCACTCCTCACTGCGTGCTGTTAGCCTGCAATCTTCTTGAAAAGAGCGCAGTTGGGGCTCGTTAAACCAGACCCAGGAGCATTGGGTTTGTTTGTGCGGCGTTGGCCAGAGCTGCTGTGAACCTTCATCTCGCGTGTCCCCTCTGTGAGGAAATACAGAGAGAGGGCACATCTGAGGCTGCGTACACTTTGGAGCTGATGGGAGCCTGGGACAAGAGGGAATCCTGGTCCTCCTGAGTTGGTAGGGCAGTAGATCCAAAGGTGCAACAGAAGCTGCCCAGGTTGCAATTACCAACTGACATCCCCCAGTGCTCTGGAGGGCCCAGGAGTTTTCCCCTTCCCCTGCGGCTGGAGGTGCCTGCTGCCACTGCCTGGTCTCTCATGGCACCTGCTCTAATTTTGGAGAGGGATTGGGGTGGAGCCTGGATGCTATTGCCGCTTAGGTGGGTGTGCGCATGCTCGGGGCCGGGCTGAGTCCCTGTCCTGCTGTCTTGAACCCTCTGGACTTTGGGCACTGACCAGCATGGGAGGGGGCCAAGGACAGATCAGCCCTGGCCTTTGGATGCTCCTCGGTGTGTGCGACCTGGGTGCTGTGGGTGGTGGTGGGAGAGAGACAAACTCCTAGGCGGGAAAGTGAGGGTCCCTGGTCAGGCTCCACTGTCTAACCAGGGAGGGCCTGAAGCTGGTGGGCTGGGCTACCAGTCCTGCGGACCACAACCCTCCAGTACGGAGCTGGCCTCACGTAGATTAAGACGGCTTTGCACTTGGCAGACAAAAGTAAAACATCTCATGTCCCTGGCTGGGCAACTCCCCCAGGAGTCCAGCAAGAAGACATGGGGTCTGTGGACTGGAGGCTACTGGGTGAAACCTCTCATTTGAGGATCATGTTAAAAGTTGAACTTGAGACCCTGAGTGCCCTATGTCCTTCCCACTCACCAAAGATCCCCAGCTGAGCCAGCCCTGACTCCCCGACACAAGAGCCCAGGGAGGAGCTGGGAGAGAGGGAAATCCGCTGTGACCTCAGGGCACGGAAGGAGCCCTGACCTTTCTCTCCATGATACCTTCTCCCCTCCCAAGTGCCTCTGGCCCTGAAGCTTCCAGGGACCCGTGCTTTCCATCCGTGTCCTCCTCCACTCCCGCCAACCCAGCCTCTTCTAAAACCTCATGCATTTGTCTCCATGTGAGTGCCCCAGTCTCAGGCTCTGGCAGTGGCTAAGAGGCTGGGGGTTCCTGTACCTGTCTAGAGGCAGCCTCACTCTATGTGGCCCCATGTGGGTTTTTGGAATTCTTTCTACACAGGGTCACCTGCAAGTGTACAGTAGATGCATCATCTCAAGAAGAGCCAGTGTGGATGGGTGAGGACCAGGAACCCCCTCAGGCATGCACATGGAAAGATAGAGAGGGGTCCCGGGAAACAAAGGCTCGGGGGTGGGCCCTGGGCCCTTCTGTCTCCACTAAGCAAAGAGGCTAGTGAGTTTGGCCACAGAATACACCCCTACTCCCCATGGGTTCATATTCAAAGGACAAACTCCTTCAGACTCCCTGCTCCATGCACTCGAGATCCCCAGGGTACCTTGAGTTATGATATAAAAAGGAGACAGAAACCAGCTTTTCTCTCTCTGTTTTCAGATAAACAATACTAATGCTAATACTAATAACTAATACTAATACTAATAATTCTCCTGCCACCACGCCCAACTAATAGGAAGGGGAGTCATTGGGCGTTAAGAGTGTCAAATGTTCCAAGAGTGTCAAATGTTCCAAAATCTTCTCTGTGGTTTTCCCCAGAGTCTTCCCCTCCAGGGCTACCTGACAATCCTCAGCCCTGGACAGTGCAAGATTTTTTCAACCGAGGATCACTGTGCTCCTTCTGGGTCCATGAGAAAGTGCCAGGCAGCCTGATAGGCCCGGGATGGACTTACATCTAGCAAGACCTTCCCCTGGTTTGCAGGAGTAGATAGGGGGTCACTGGGATGACAGGGACTCCAGCCCAGACCCCATTCTCCCTCATTCCCTCCTGCAAAGTTCAATTCTCACAGTCCTGTGAGGCTATGACAAGTGCAGAGACAGAACTGTCCCACATCCAAAGTGCCTCTCTTCCCCTGGCCGCACGCCAAGGCTTCCTCCCTCTGACCTGTCCCTTGTGTTTGCATCCAGGGTGGGTGCTCGCCACGGACTCTCTCTCCCCAGGTCTCCCCGCTAGACTGCCTCTCTGCCCCTGGGGTGGGGTCGGGCAGCCACTGGAACCTCATGTAGACCAGGGCGAAATCAAAAGTCCTTGGAAACTCACAGCCCCACATCCAGGTCCAAGTCCTTTCAGGGTCTCAGACCCAAGTCCCCAGTTTATCAGGGATGTGGCTCTGTGAGAGTCAGAGAACCAAGTCCCCAACCCTGCTGCCATCTTTCTCCTCCACACTTAACCTGGCCCCCATCAGCTCCTCTGGGTCACTCCCTTTCTTGACCCTGTTCTTGTCCTTAGTCTCCCTGGCTCCATCCAGCCTGCAGGGAGTTCCCAGACCTCCCCGACCCCAGGCTGCTACAGGCACCTCCCTCAGCATCCACTGTCCGCTCTCAGAGTGACCTTCTCCTCAGATCTTTATTGGAGGAAGAAAGAGGGGCAGCCCCTGGTCTTGGGAAAGACAGTCATAAATGCGATCTGGAATGAGACCCTCCTGAGGACTAGAGGAGGCCAGCAGGGCCTGGTCAGAGATATTTCACTGTTAGAAATGCAGAGAGGGCACACACCGCAGGCAAGGAAAAGCCCTGACTCAGAAACAGACACACTGCTTTCCAGGTGCAGCCTCACCCATTCTAAGACTGGGTCAGGGGAGCCTGGGAAGGGATGGCCCCTGTACCGGGACCTGTCCCAGGCTTTGCCAACAGCCTGGCACTTCTAGGTAAACCAGAGGAATCAGCCCTTCCTGTACAAGGTAGACAAGGTTCCCTCCCTCGGTCCTGGGTGCCACTTTAGGTCCAGAGTAGCAGCTGAGGAGCTCCCTGCTTTGTGCCTTCCTGGGCGCGCCCAAATCGCTCAGTAGAATTTGGGGAGAATTTATTGGTCACTGCGGAATCCAGGGAGAATATCTCTTAGCATTCTTTGTGGCCGTACTCCTGGGTGCAGGAGGGATCAGCTGACATTTCCAGGAAGCAGAGGACTCGGCTTCCCTGACAGCGCAGGCTTGGGGAGGAAAACAGAAGTTCAGAAATATTTTAGAAACCCCG